GTGTTTTGCTTCTGCTTTGCATTTACATCAACCATGTTGCAACTGGGTGTGAATAAAGTCCAGATAGATTCCTTCTGATAAGTATTTATTTTTAAAAGTGTATACTTGAAACAGACTGTCTAGTCTGCCCTATTTGCTAATACAAACCACAGAATTTCAATTAGTGCCTCCTTATGTATAGCTCATAATTTCCAGCTAAGACAGTTCTGCTAGCTAGATGAATCCCCCACAGCTTTACAATTTCATTCCTTTTAATGGTTTCACAGAGCTAACAATGCAGAATGGGGGCTCTGATTCATGCCTGTTGATGCCTTGTAAAACTGCTGTGGTTCCTATTCTCTCCCTCCTCTCTCTTCTTCCATTCTGTCCCTACTGTGGAGATAGCTCAGCTTCTTGTGAAGCAGAATCTGAACTGCTCCAGCTTCATAGATCAAGGTGGACAACACCAGTTTAAACTCTTCTTGATATCCTGAGTATAGGTGATACTTGCATGTGATTTTTTTTGGAGCTGTCTGAATGGTGGTGCAGTGGGATTAGAGGCAGGGATGTTGTAATCCATCTTCACACCTTGAAATACCTGTTTAGTACTGACTGAAAGCTTGTCCTCGGCTGCTGATGCCAGGGTATGTTTTGCAGCAGGTTCAGTTGTTAAACAACCAAAATGATAAACAAGAAGTTAACTGTTAAAGCTCAGCACCTGCAGTGGTGTTATCTGTCAATGTTCCTGCACTGTGTGCATGTTAGGATGTGGTGCCAAGGTGTCTGTAATAGTTTACAAAGACTAATGCTGAAGTCTCTCCAATCGCCACCCTTTAATGAAGTTTGGGATTTTGGTGCCTTCCAATGTATTTAAACTAGGAAGGATGCTGAGTCAGTGCAGGCTGACTTGTTATTGTGGGGGAATTATTGCAGCAGTCACTGTTGCCTCTTAAGGAATTTGTACAAATTTATTTTGAGGAGAGCAGTTGGGTTATCAGCTTACAAAGGACAGATCAATACCAATCAGTTCCAGTTATTATGTTGCTTTTAATTTGGCACATTCCCTTTTTGTCATACAGCATTACAGGGTTCCTTCTGGTTAGAGGAATCTGAAGCAAGGGAGTATTGACTTTTGACTGATTAAAATCTGTAAAGCTTTACCTTCGCTTTGTCTACAGCATCTCTGTATAGACAAAACAAACTACTGAGAAGATTATTAAGGCAATACTGTGCAGGCAGATCTTAGTGCAGAGGTTTAGCTGTGCACGTCTGGCCATATTAATGGAAATCCCACTGCTAAAATCCCTGTACGCCCTGCTAAATAATTTGCCTAATGATTTTGGTTAAGCACGCATAACAAGCACCATCTGAAATAGCATTTGACACAATGGGAACCAGAGAGAAGATTCAGTAATGTGGATGCCTTGTTCCCAGGGCTGTGAGCAAGGGGAGGAGACTGGCGTGAAAATAGAGATGTCCTGGGATGTGAGCGCTGTCTGTGATGGATACTGGAGTATCAAGGATGGTCTGGTCAGTGATCTTCCCTTGTACTGCTGTTCCACTCATACAGGGCTGGGTTATATAAGTGACATGATGTGGTCAGTCTGTCGAGAGCTATCTGCTCGTAACTAAATATAATGAATGCAGAAAATGACAAAATAGAAGAATTGCTCACCTTCCCCGTGTTTTACTCTGATCTCCTCGTCTTTCAATAATGTGTCATAGCCATTCCTGAAGCAGAAGATAGAGCAGACTGAGGGAATGCACTGATGATGCATCTCTAAGTCCAGTAGGTAGCTATAGATCCTCCTACCACATCTAGGGAGGATTCATTGTGTGTTAAGTAGTCCGCTATATCTGCATTACAACTCAGACATCACAGAGTGCCTACGCCTCTCTGGCTGAAGGCTGCCTGTCATGCACCTTCCCACGCATTATCGTGTGTGGACTGCAGTGAGTAAAGCTGTTATGCTGAAGTTCTCCTAAGCCAAAGAGAGCTGGGCTTCACAAGTCACCAGACTGCTTAGGGAACTTCCTACAGAAAATTATGTGATGTTAGAAGTGAAGTTCTCACTGTCCAAGTCGCAATCCTTTTCCTGAATTCAGTTGGGAATGGTGTGACAGTGGCAAACCTGATGCTGGTGGAACAGCCATCACTCTCAAGAGATGAAACTTGGCCCATAAACACTGTGGGACATCTACAAGGAGCAGCATGTCATGTCTTCATCAAACTCCAACTCAAGCAATTAACTTGCAGTATTGTTCTTTGCTTCGTTACCTTCTACGCTCTGTAACACTGCAGGATTGTCACCTTTCCTCCAGCTTAGCAGCAGCTACCTTTTACCAAAGAGCCTCCACACCACCGCGGTTCTCTTCAGGATAAATGATGTAATATAAATGTAGAGGATTATTTAAAAACCCATTGTGAACGTTCCTGGCATATTAGCCATAGTAATGGTCTGAGTGTTTTATTTGGCAGTAACCCAGTTCCTTTCTCAAGATATGGTACCTGGTGCATGTCCTCGTAGGCTCATAAAATAGCAGGATGGTAGAATTATCAAGAGAAACAATGATGTGTTTTTATGTTGCTGTAAGTTATGGATATGTAATAAAAGGGGGGGTGTGAAGTTGTTGAGCTAGTGAGCATAAAGTTGAGGGTTTTATTGCAGCTTTAAGTTCTGAAGCATTTAGTACACAATGATGTTTAGCTGCCCGGCCTCTTTATTTTTATTATTTTTTTTTTTTTTGCACTGAAGTAATGACAATAAGTGTAAATCAGGTAATATAGGAATTGGGAGATCTAACAAGGCGGTGTTTTCTTTGAGATCACTGAGAAAAGGAAAACAATGTAAATATTTACCAGTCAGAAATGTAAACACAAGGGCCTTCATAAGAGCACTAATGAAACGTTGGCCTGAATTAATTTTGCATGTAGTTCATTTGAAATCTGAGAAGGTATCAGCAGTTCTCCTCTTGTATTTGAACAACACAGGCACAGTCCGACAACTATAACAAATCCTAGTTTCTATGGAGCTTACTTTCTAAATCTAGGGTCTGTCAACTGATCTGCAACTGTTTGGATGCAGTGTCTTGGATTTGAGGATGGGGACTTTCAGGACCATCTCCAGAAAGATATTGGGAATTCCTCACCTTTTCTACTCCTGCTTCAGGTATGGAAGGGGTGCTCCATGATTCTCGGTCACCTCACCCCAGCTATGATGGATGAGGACTCATTGGGCTCTCAAACTGATCAAATCTGAGCTCCAAACCTGTTTCTGTTCATTTGCTCCCAGTAGTAACTGATCCCTTTATCCATGTGTGGCTCAGCTAATTAAGAAATGCATTAGGCATTAGACCTAATGAGAGAAGCTTCAGAGCATCTTTGTGCTGAAGATGCATCATATCTCCTTGTTTCTGCAGCAATTCTCATTCACGTTTTTTGAGGCTTCTTACTTCATAAATAGTGTCACCAGGGAAGAAAGTATTATTCAACATGAGTAAATGTGACAGCTTCTGGGTCTACAGTTAAGTCAAACCCACTCTGAAGTGAGAAGTGAAGAAGCCTAATGCTGCTCTGTGAGTCACTGGCAAAATCAGAACGAAACCAAGAATCTCTTGTTACCAGCTCTGCAATACAAACTCTGTTGTCCCAACCTTTCATTAACACATTGATAGCTCTTAGAGATTCAGTCTGTTTTTTCCCAGGATAAACTTTCACCTATCTTTGCATTAGGCAGGAATTCCTTGCCTCTTCTTGCTCTTTGTTAACTTTCTCTGTTCCCATAAACACCAGGAGTGCTGGGCTCCAACTGCCAGGTGTGGGTATGAAACTGCAAACACTGGCAAATGCCGAGTGTTTGTTGCCTACCGGGCTGCCATGAGCCTCTCTCACCTGGGTAGGCATCTCCCTACAGCTCTTACAGTTGTTTTCATTTTTTGTGGGATGCTGCAACCCAATATGAGCATATTAGAATGCTGTGAGTCAGGCCTCCTAGAAAAGTCATGCATGACTTAAAATCACAAGGATGATCAAAAACAATAAAATGCATGCTTTCTATTTGCCTTTGGGCTTTCTAAAGTTAAGGCACACCCACGAAGGCTAGAAACTCAGGGCACCTATTTTTCATGAGCTACACGCAGTGCCTTTTTTCTTCTTTCTTTTTTTTAGTTATTTACTGAAACACTTACAGTAAAACGATCAGAATGGCCAACACTGATTCTGTTGCTGAAAGCACTCAGTGAAACCAAGTGAGTGATTTACCTTTTCCATCCTAAACGTGGGGTTTGATTTTTTTTCACGACAATGAAATAACTCCATGTTTGGATATATATAGGACTTCTTTAAGAAAACAGTCCTTTTGCTAGGACTTTGTTTTTTAGAATGTGTCAGTGGGTTGGTGTTGGACAAAAGTCACAATAGGGCTGAATGTCCCAGAGTCTGTGCCTTCAGCATGTGGCTGAATGTGCCAAAGGTTTGGCTTTGGCTTGGCACATTTGTCTCTTTTTGCCTTTACTTGGCTTGGTGCAATTAGGTTGATTGCATTTTAAGAATCATAGAATGGTTTGGGTTGGAAGGGACCTTTAAGATCATCTATTTCCAACCCCCCCTGCTGTACACAGGGACACCTCCCACTAGACCAGGTTCTTAATGTTGTTCTTCCAAGCTTTCTCTAATTTTCCTTCCCTTGATGAAATCTGAGCCTTATAGCAAGATGCTAGAAAGGCTGAGCTTGGCATACCTCACCATTCAGACTAATTAACGGGCTGGCAGCCATGCTCTTGGCCAAACAAGATGCTGCAAAGTGAGTGTGCAGCTCAGCCAGGTGGGTGAAAGACTCCAAGTCTCCAGGAGTAGTAATTCATTCCCTTGGGAACTTATTGCTGTCTCAAACATCACCACTCTGAGCTTCCTGTGCTGGATGCAGTTCCTAGAGTTTAGAGCTCTTCATATCCAAAAATACAATGGTATCTGCCAAGGCGTGCAGTCCTTCCCCTGGAAAGAAAAAAAAATATATGGGAAAACAAACTACATATGATGGATGTTAGTCATGGTGCTTATAGCACTCTTGGCACAATCTCCACCTGGGACTCCTCTACTTACATTCAGGAATTAGGATGAATCAGACATCCTGTGTGTATGTATGTATGAGCTGAGCGTATGCAGAATGTAGTGGGGACTTCTTGATGTCCCAGCCTGCTTTTGCTTCCCTTTGTGCTGCAAGATGTCTGTAAATCTTAAACAAAGAGTCCTTTTTCTCTGACACAAGGTTGGTGGATGGAAAAACAGTGTGCTTATGGGGAACTTCATGTATGGGAACATCACTTCATTTGTGAATGGTGCCAAGATGTGTAGTTCTACTGCAGGACATGTGGCTTGGTGGTGATTTTCTGGAATCTGTGTTCTGGAGTTCTTATCACCTAAGAATTTCAACCAAAGTTTCCAGCCTCCATGCTTATAAAACAAGGCTGATAACAGATGATTTCCCAGCATATCAAGAAGTGTAGACAAATAAGAACATACTGAACCTGTATTCTGGAAACCAATTGTGTGGCTTTGAACATGTTGTGTTGGCAACTTCATAATCTTCCCTTAATTGCTATGTCTATGCTTGTGCAGCATGGCTTGCAGTACCTTCTATAAAACAAATATCAATGTCCTTTTGTATATATTAAACGTTATTTCTCCTTTTGGGTCTTGAGTCACTGACAGAAGAGAACGTTATATGCTAGGCAGTTCAGGCATTGTGAGACCAAAAGATGAAAAATGTTTCCCTGGGAAGTAAAGTTTTGAAGCCTTTCCACGCATTTGAAAGGAATGGAAGCTTAAACTCTGCCGAGTTTCTTGCTTCTAGCGAAGTAATTTTCTTTCTTTCTGGAAAGCAGGAAGGTTGTTAGATACAAGGATTCAAAATAGGAAGGCAAAAAAACCTTTGAGCTCAAGTAATGTGTTGATGAGAAAATGTTTGCTTGCCTTTAGCTGTAGTGCCTCGCTTCCTTGCGGCTGTTTTACTGCAGGCAAAACACAACAACATCGCAATGAATAAAATATTAAATACTGTTGAGGCTTTTATAAGGACATTTTTATAGTTCTTCCAGGTGCAGTGGCATCCTTTTAATTACCCTGACATGACAAAGAGTGCTGCAAAGCTGAAGTGTTGATTCTCTGGTGTACTCAAGGCCATAAAAGTAGCAGCCAGGGAAGGGATCAACTGCAGCTGGAAGGTTCGTGTCTGTGCACAGAACTGGTCAGTGTTATTTGTTCAGATCTGTCCTTAGTCATCACCCTGCCAGTAGGAGGAAATCATGCATAAAAAAACCCATCCATAAAAAAGCATCACTTGATACTTGACTTAGCCAGCAAAGCGTTGATGTCTTCCTAAATTCCACTGCTCTGCAGTGCTTCCCTCTGGGCCTTATTTTATTTAACATGTGCGATACAGTAAGGAATAATGTGCCCAGCCAGTGCTCCCCGTCTTTGTCCATCTTTGTAGCTCTGTATTAGACCCTTCACATCAAAACCCCATCCTTCCACAACCCATGTGTGTCTGATAACTGCTCTGCTTTGCTAAATGAGTAAAGCTCATGTGCAGTTACTCCTTGTTGCCAAGTCTTTCACAGTATCTGACCCCTTAGAAATCTTACTCAAATATTCCCCCAGATGTTAGCAGGATCCCATTTCTCAGGAGCAGAATCAATCCTGATCCCACTGAAATACTTCCTACATGTGATGCCAATGCAAACAATCAATTTTCCCGCAGAATATGAAGAGTGTAAATACTTGCCCTTGTATTAAACCTGCCCCAAGTGTGCTAGAAAGGCTCACTATGTACTGTGGTGAGGTTATGCCTCTTGTCCTGTGGCATCTATAAATCATATGCTATACAGGAAAAGGTAACTTTTGTTGTTAGATATGGACCAATACACAGGTCTTCAAGGTTTATGACTTTCTGTTTTGCTTGTTGCTTTGCTGTCTCTGATTTACCTGTGACTTAATATTGATTCTGAACTACACTGGGACATTTTGTTATCAGATAGCTTTCTGTTTTATGGCTGGTAATTCTCCCAGTTCCTCCCTTCCAAGAGCAAGGGCTCCAGCACATTTCATTGTGGTGCTTCCAATGATCAGTGCTTCCCCCAGTGTTTTTTGCTGGACATTATTGACATCAGCATAAAAGTAGCACAAAAGGTTGAGTGTCTCATACTGCAGTACATAGCCCAGCATCTCAGACCCCAGCACATCTCTGCCAGCGCTGTAAATGAGCCCATCTGGATTCTGAGCTGGGTGACCATCCCTTCCTCCCAACTGCTTACTGGTAGCATTCTGGTTTTGTAACCCAGGGCTTGGCATAGGCTGGGAACTCAGATATTTATGGGACTATTCTGACTGGTTTTACAGTGCATATGGCTCGGCGTGGCTAAGCTGGTAGCAGTGCCTGAGCTTCATTTAAAGGTAGCTTGGGTGCTTCTGTGTTGTTTAACAGCCACATCAATGTCTGTCAGGTAGATATAACTTAATGCTGGATGTATTCAGTTGTATAATTAGGTATGCCAGCAAATTAACTGCAGTATGTTAACCATAATCCACAGCGAGTGCTAGTGAACTCGATGTGGTGTGTATAAATATTATTTTGTACTAGTAAGGACAAGAAAACAGGTAAGGTGAATATTGCCACGCAGCTTCCTGAGAGCACTACATAAGAGAGCAAAGCACAACGTAAGGTAGGTTTTATAAAGCAATACTTGTGAAAAATATGAATTACTTGCACATTCCAACTTCCTCATGACTGAGGTCTGTACTGCGGTGCCTTGCCCTCTTTCTGCAGGATTAGTTTGTTGTGGCAACTCTGATAATTAGCAGTTTCCCGAAGGAAGGAGAATTTTGCAAGCCTGTAAAATGTCAGAATATTGTCAATTGGCCATTACTGCAAAAATAAGACCATAGCATGAAGTCATTATGAAGACTGAAGGACTGAGGAGGAACACAAGGCACAAGTATCTCACAAACTTTAAAGATGGTTAAAAAAGGGGATAAAATTCCCCTCCCCTATTTTTAAACAGAAAGCTATGAAATGCATTCGAGCAAACCGAAAAGTTATGATGTCTATGATCAGCACAAGAAGCTCTGTGTCACAAAATTTTGTGCATACGAAACTCATGCCGACACACAGTGATGCATTTTGTCGGTGTGCACACAGTGTGATGTATATTTTGACCAACGTGTCCACAGGAGGCAAAGGGAAAAATGTAAGCAGGGAAGCAGTGATGCCACGGGAGAGGCTGGGAGAATGTGTGTGTTCTAATGGTCTGACTTTCCTCTTTATCTTATGAGGGGAAAAAAGCAGAAAAGGCTGAATGGATGTGATGGAGTGCTCTGATGTCATAATCTTCTGGATTATTGGCAAGTCATAATCCCACTACCCGGCAGTAAACACTCTGCAGGGCAGCAGGAGAGGGGGAAGCCAGCAGCAAAGAGGAAGAAAGATGGACAGAGAACAAACTGTGGGAAAGAAAGCAGGAATCGCAGATGGCTGAAGCTTCCATTGACAGCCGCACATTAAGAAGCATTAGCTGAGCTGTCATAGGTAGTGTGAGTGTTCTTGGGAGAGTGATGCTAAGACAAAGCCTCTCTTCACCTTTTGACTTATCCATGATCCAAATCCCCAACCTTCTGCTCTGGAAGAGCATCCGGGCACTTTCTGTGTAACGCTGGTAAGTTGCTGGTATGTGTTTTTAGTTTGTTCTGTACAGTGCTCAAGATTTTAAGAGGTAATAAAGGGAACTGGGCACCAGAATTTCTTCAGATCAAAGTAAATTTAACATTACAGGAGTGACCCAGATCTAGTTTTACAAAATGTAGCAGGGATAGGAATGAGGTGGAAAGGTCTCTAGTATTGTGACTCTCCAGTTGTGTCCTCACATGGGCTACAGCTGCAATATGCCAAGTCCACGAGCTTCTTTCCTCAGGTAGGACACCAGCACAGCAGCCATCCCCTTCACATTTGGTGTCCTCTGCCAAAGTCTGAGGCAGCTCCAAGCCGACTGTGGCAAAATACCTGGCTGCTCCAGGACGAACTGCCTGCTCTAGGTGTATTAAGGGTTTCAGCTCCAAATTTTCTCAGGAAAAGATACAAATGTCAAACGCATTTGAAACATCCCTGCAGCCATGGAAATGTCCTGTTTTATTACTTTCTCCAATAAAACATTTTGTTATTCTTAAATCCAGCAAAATCTGATGACATTTTGACAGAAAAGATTAATTACGGCACTTAGGAAGCACTGATCAGCTCTGCTTTGCTGTAAAATTTTTTTATTGGTTGCAAACTTCAAGTCATTCCAGCTATCCAAGGCTGCTTTAGAATAAGACTTGAGGCATTATAGTTTTACAAGAAGTGAATAACAGCTCGGAGATTTCTGCAAAACAAATGGCTTCCTTTCGAGCAATCAAAGCACTGGTTTAGTTTCTCTAATGAGATATTTCCATCAAGAAGCTGGAGGATACTGACACCAGATATTCCCTCTGTTGTTGCGGCAGATTTCGCTGGCACTGACAAATAGCCTGTCTGGTACAGCAAGGTCAGATGGACAGGAACGACACAAACAAGAGAGTCAGCCCTGCCGTAGGCTGGTGCTCTTGGCATTCCTGAACAGGCAGGTAGATGGATGGACAGACACTTCTGTCATTTGTACCATTTGTATCTAGATCCTTGACAGCCATGTCAAATGTGCTGTTTGCTTTCCAGATGCCCCGCTGTGGCCAAGCACCAAAGCTATTTGCACAGAGCAGGCCAGCCACTTCTTTGTCTCTAAATCCAGAAGTCCAGTGACACATGATTAGCTAAGAGCTCTGCTACGTGAAGCGAAGGCAAACAAAAATTGCAAAAGTAAAAATTGGCCAAGTGCAGCCCCAAGGATGCACTCATCTCTGCCGACTTTAAATGCTTCGAAGGGATCAGCAGCTTTGCTCCCCTTGAATTGTGAGGACCAGAACTGAGGCAGGCAGCTTTCTTGTGTGCATGGAGGCTTTTGATTCCTGGTGGTTGGAGGAATGCTGCTGCCCTGCTAGAGGAGCTCCTTAAACTCACAGCTTGGTGCTGGGCTGCTAGAGCAATGGCTAGCCCATGGGGCATCCTGTCCAGTCACCTGTTTGGGCAAGTGTTTAGCAATCATGGAATATGGATAATTTAGCATTACAGAATTTAGGGCTGCAGATTTGAAGTTTAAATAGTGATTAATAATAAAATGCTGTAGAACAGCGGGGTGAAAGTCAAGCCTACGCAGAAGCCCTTGGGTTGAGAGGCTGCTGCTGGTGGAGGACTGAGGAGCACAGAGGAAGCTGGTGCTTGCTGTGTTAAGGACCAGTCCCTCCCTCAAAGACTGCACTATGCACAGGCAAAGCAGGAGGAGAAAAAGCACAGAGGTACCAAATGATTTCTTTGTGTAGAAGTTACTCGTTAGCCAAGAATGGCCCACTGTTCTCCTGAATACCAGGACACGCTCAGTGATCTATTTAATGTGGATATTAAAAGCTTAACCAGGGAGTTGCTAAGTCTTTAAAAGGCCCCAGCCCAGATTTCCAAACAGGACTATCTAGAAGGAGGCTCCCAGATTTGTAATGGTGTGGCAAAACAATCTGCCTCACTTTGGAAAATGCTGAGCAGGCAGGGCTCTGTGCAGCATCTCCATCCTCCGCTGTGCCCCGTCCAAGTAAGGCGCTCAGCAGTCACTTTGCTGCAAGGTCCCCTCCACAGCTCCAAGTGCCAGTAGGCAGCTGGCTCTGAGGCAGTGCTGTGATGGCAGATGTGCTGCCCTGACTGCCTGGCAGTCAGATGGGCTTTGCTGGGTATCCCATCTACTTGCTTTCACAGGTTTGATCCATTCTTGCTCAGTCTTTACGTTTGTTTCCTCCTGTAGTCCTTTGTGGCCATTCAGCTTTCCCCACAGTGTGTTTTCTGCTCCCGCCCCTTGAGAGGCACAAAAACATGAAGATTTTTCAGGGAGGGAATCTGATTGGGAAACCAGCACACAGAGAATGAAAGCACAGCATTTAACTTTTTTTACATTATTAGATTGATTTTCTACTGACCATTTAATCACAGGTTGGATGAGTAAGACTCCAGAATGCCATAGAGAAATGCCAAGGAATGGGATTTTCATTTCTGCATTTTCCTGGTGAGAAATAATCTCTGGGTTGTTTTGGAAAATGCACACTGAAAGATGGAAGTCCTAATGGTAATCAGTGTTGGTTTTAATTTTTTTTTAATTCTTATATGTGCATCTTTCTTGCAAACTGTATAACATCAGCAGAGTAAATACCCTTTATGTAATATAAAAGTGAAATGCAGCATAAAGTTTGCTCTTAGTTCTTGATGATAACACCATATAAACAGAAGCATGAGGGAATCTGAAAATCTTGGGCCAATTTTGGCTGTTAGCTAAGCTCCTGCAACCCCCTTGAAGTCAATGGCATTCTGGGCTTGCAAATACAAGCAGGATTTGGACTCGAATTCTACAAATCTCTGAATGTGTGCATTCAAAGAGGGAGCTGGCATTGTTGCTGATTAAAGAACACTGCCAAAAGACCATAGGACCAAATTTCCAGTAGGTTTGGATAACAAACTCCAACTCGTCCCATTAGTGTATGGAATGGAACAGAGGTCAGGGTGACCGCGGGAAGATAATCATCGAGATTCAGAATGAAATCAAATCTCATTTGAGACTCAGCTGTTCAAGAAAGTTTGGGGGTTATTTATTTTGGATTTGTATAGGCTGTCTCTCAGGAAGCAGAGGCTGATTCCTCTCTCATTAATGCCACAGTGAAATTCTCGGCAGTCTCAGGGGCTGCATGCTGGGCCCCAAACAACTAGGTTATAAGAACTGAAATGATGTTAACGCTGAACACCTGATCCAAAGCCCACTGAACTGAAGAAGAGACTTTCTGTTTACTGTCTCTGAAGAATCTCAAAATGAATACGTTACTAAGATTCCTCAAGTAATTCCCAAAATTTTAGCAAAAGAAGAAATAACAAGCTGCTATACTGCTATAGCAGTATACAGGATACATAACAGGAACCAAAGGAAAAGGTCCTATATGCTGGTGGATAGATTGAATATAATGGGAAGAAGGGAGTAAAACTTAGAATAAACTTATTTCAGAATTTTTTTTTGCATATGTTTTCTAGAGAGGCAGAGGGCCCTTAAGAATATGGAAATAAATTGTGCCAAAGTATCAAGGTAACAGGAACCTTAAAATGCAACAAACATCTAAATAATGCAGGCCAAGGAGATCAAATGCTGTTTCAGCTGTGACACTGTAAATGAGGTAATAATGTTCATGGGTTGTTCCACCTTCCCATACATCATCAAATCGCCACAGACCTGAGAACCTTTCACGCCCATCTTTGGTGTTTCAGCTTGCACTAAGAAGCCCCATTTGAAAGTGTGGAGCTTGGAGCTCCTTTCTGACTATTCTTTCACAGCAAAATCATGTCTAGTAGAATGAGGTTGTTGGGATGTTCATCTCCATGCACTGCCTATCAAGCTCCATGTGCTTTTAGTGACAATGTGTCCTGCTAACAATTGTGTACTCTTTAAAATCAAAGCTATTGCTATCATCAACTTGAGGAGGATAAATAGCCTTTAACTTCTTTTCTGTGCTCTGTAGAAAACAGTCTTTTGTCTTCATTTACTGGCCACATGTAACCTTCCATCCTCTTTAGCTGATTTCTGATCCTTCCAAATCCAGGAGGTCTTTCTCTGCTTTACTCATTTCTCTGATCAGATGCTTCCCTCTTTCCAAACAACGCTTATTTTTTTGGCCTCACAATCTTGAGGTCTTCAAATGAAAAAATTGAACCCTATTTCATTAATACATCTTCTACTCGCAGTTGCTCAAGATTCGCTTTTTAATCTGCATCCCGTTACCCAATTATCTCAGCCACCTTCTTCACTAACAGTTTGACTACAGCCCCTTCTGCAGATGACACGCGACTCTCTGTTCCCTATTTTCCACTTGTTTGCCTGTTTTGAGTTGTGGCTTCTGACCACACCAAACACCAATTCTGAACGTTTCAAGAAATCCACTTACTCCAGCATTTCTGTGACTAAGCCTTCTCATTCTGGCACGTCAGAAAATCAGCGAGCTTCATTCGCAATCAAGCAAGATCACATCTGAACATTCTGCTGCTCCCCCTTGACATTTGATGCCATAACTTAACATTTGTTCCACCATGTGTTGCTGGTCAATATCTCCTGGCAGGAGGTATCCATCTCATTCACTGTCTGCATTTCCCTTTTTATTCCCTGCCAGCTGTTGTGTTGGTTGCTCACAACTGCAGAAGAATCAGCTGGCCTTTCCCTAAGCAGACAGAGCGTGTTCTATCCTTCTAGTAAGCCTCTGTATCTCTAACAGTGAGATGAAACCTGGCACAAATAAGTAGTTTCAGATGAACCCAAGGGGTTTTATGTTTTCTTTATAAAACACTATATAAAAGAAGCGACCACGGGGAGGCTTGGAGGAATGTGATCATCACTCCCCACAGCTCCTTGTGATTACTGCCAAGGCCATGAAAGCACTCCAAATAATGCTGTGGGGAATGCTGTGATACCCACACGAGATGCAGGTCATCTTCTGCTCGTGCAACCTGCCGCTTGGAAGACGTATTGCATCAGCAAAGGCAGCCAAGTGTGAATAATCTCTACCAAAATAGCTATAAAGCTATGTTAGCATTTCCACGCTGGTCGCAGAAGCATTTTCTGGTGTTGATCCAAATTCAGATATTAAAAAAGCAATAATAATTAGGGGTCTTCTTGCCATTCAGTGCTTTGCCAGGTTTGCAGGTCTGCCTGCTGGGCTCACACTGTAGGCAGTGAGAAGCTCATACTGATGGAACGTCTCTTCTGAGACTTTCTTTTTGCTGACACCCTGTGTCCCCCTGCAGTGCCTATCTTAGAATAGTCTCAAATTCCTCTGCCCTAAAACAAGCATGCATTCCATAACATTGTTAAATATCCTGATAAGAAATGGAAATGTTTTGCCCATCTCCCTGCCCTGTCTCACTCCCTGGAGCTTCACAACAGCTGGATTTCTCCTCCCAGCCTCGGCTCACCTGCTGCTCTGACCTCCCTTACAGCTCCCCCGGTCTCGGCCCAACAGATAAAATTCCTCTTGTATTTGCTTTGTTTCATCCCTCTGGAATCCCGTCCTCCCCCCCGCCTGCTAACAGCCACCGAGTCGCTCATCGCCCTTCAATGTCACCCCACGACCCCGTGCAGCAATGTCAGGCTTTAGTGCAGGTGCAATTCGTGAGCTGCGGTATTGCCACACAGAAAGCACTGTCGTGTGACGTATCGTAGGTCGTGACAGAACCTAAAGCGGAGGCTCAGCGCCCCAGGCAGCTCACAAGGACACAACGCACGGGACGGGCCGCGGTCCCTTTAAACACTATTCTGAGGTTCACGTCGCCGCCGTCTCCTTGCGCTAATTAGCGGCGGGCCCGGCTCCGCCCCCTTTCCTCCAGGCCTTCCTTCAGCGGCTCCTCCAATCAGCGCCCGCCCGCGTCACTCTCGGGGCAAGGAAACACGGAGAAAGGGGAGAAAAAGTTTGGTGAGGAGCGAGCGGGGCTGGGAGCAGCAGCAGCAGGTGAGAGCGGGGCGGCGGCACCGGCGGTGGCTGCGGGTGGGGGCGGCGGTTCGGCGCTGAGCTGCTGCGTTCTGTTCTGTTTCCCCGCCGTGCTCGGGGCTGCTTTTCTGCCTTTTTTGGTCGTTCCTTCCTCCCTCGCCCCTCCCGCGGCCGCTGGGCTGCGTGCGCAGAGCCGTCCCGGGGCAGAGGTGTTTGTACGCGTGTCCTTGGGCGGATAAGGGAGCTGCCCCGAGGTGCGCCGTGCCGTTCTGAAGTCCGTTCCCTGGGTGGCTGTCCGGGCTTGTCCCGCACGGGGGGGCATTGCATAAGAGTTACTGGAGTTAAGAGGTTTTTCTGAGGCTCCGCGCTCCATCAGCTGTGCCAAAGTGTGTGCGCTGCGCGGAAGGGTGCAGCGCTGTCAGCTGCCCTATGAACTTTAAGGAGGGGGGGGAAGCAGCTGCTCTTTTCCTCCTCCTGCTTCCAAGCAAGTGATTTGGCTTGATGTCCTCTGAAACGATTCCTTTTGCAGAAAGCTTGTCCTCCTCTGTTGATAATGGTAACTCAGCAGCTGGGGGAAGCGAATCTGCTAGTTCCTTTCTTGCTGTCTTTCCCGTGTCTGCTTTAACTTCTGTCACTTTGCTCTTTGAGTTCTGCCTGGTTCCTTTATGTGCTGTTGCAGTACGTACACCTGTTCTTCATATTAATTCATATCAATCATATTAATTACTGCCCAGCCTCGAACAAGGGGCCTGGCTCTGGCCTCATCCATAATATATTTATTCTGACCAAAATAACAGCGTGTTCCTGCTTGGTTTTTTTTTTTTGTTCCTTGTGATGCTGAGTACCAAAGCTGACACATCAGTGGCAGCACTCCTTGATTTTACTGCTTTCCTGATAGAGTCTTCAGCAGGGAAGGATTTCCTCTATCCTGCGTGTGCTTCTGAGGATACCTCTTAAAATAGCTTTTGCCTTACAAAACAAGGAATCATTAAAATAATAACAGATTAAAATCAACTTACCTAATCGTGTGTTGTTGACACGGATGACAAACGTTGTGTTTCATAATACACCTTGGAGAGAGTGATCTAAGAATGCAAGTTTACATTTCAGCTTCTTGTTATTTCACGGTCTCGGATGGTGCATACAAAACCTTGTACAAATAGCCTGAAAGAGATAGCAGCAAGTTATCAGGAGAGCAGCACTGACATAAACTAGTGAAAAGTTGCCATGGTTACAGATAAAGGTAATCCCTGTTTCTGTAAGAGTGTGTCCTTCTGTAACAGCTGTATTAATCAGTTTGATTTCGGAGGGGATTAGAAGTACCCAAACTCCTGGCTCCATTTTCTTGTCAGCTAATAGTTGTGCAGCTCCCTTTTTAATTAAGTACTGAATAGACTTGGACTTGTACTCAACATACTCAATTTAAGCTGCAGAGAGTATTATAGATTATGTACAGATGCAGGTGAAGCATGCTGAATTAAGTGGAAACTGGCTTTATTATTTTTTTTTCCCACCCGAGAGTTACCTGACGACAAGGAAAAATCTTTCCAAATCCTTTTTGGATCCTTTCTCAGGTGCTCTGAAATGAGTTCTGTGGCATCTCATGCTGCAGCCTTCAGCTGTGCGTCCGTACAAGATGTAATTCCTTGTTATGATCTTAAAAAAATATTAAAAAAAACTTAATAATATCAACATGGCAGCTGCTGGGTGATTGAGAACAATTGTGGCTGTGCAGCTTGTACATGAGGAGACAAGAGAGGAGCAAAAGGGAAACAGAAGGAAAAACATTAAAAAAAATAATAATCAAAGCTGTTCACTTACTGGCTTGTTCCCTAGGCAGGAGGAAGCAGTTGGAGTGTAACACGTGGATAAACTTCAGTAAGTTCTCATGGTAGCTCACCTGTGAGTGATCTGAAATAGCTATTTGAACTGCAGGGTCTGTGGCTGTCCAGGCAACTACTGCCCCGCTCTGCTGGAGGCCTGATATTTACCATGTGCACCTCTCTGTTCCTTCCAGGTTTGGTTATTGCTGTGCAGTGGTACATCTTGGATCGAAAGCAGCAAGGGAAACCTCAGGAAGTTCTTCAAGAGTGCTGCAATCTCATCAGTCTGGTATGTTGTGCTCCATAGGCTCCTGGGGTACCAAGTTGCATTCTTTGTATGCATGGGCCTCCTTAGTTACTGCTTAGGACAGTGAAGTTTCTAGGACTTTGTCTTGCTATCAGCAACATTATTCTCAGGAAGCAGTATGCTACCAAGAGCTATGGAGCTTTATATTGCTGGGGTAGTGCAGGAGATCACTTTCAGTAGTGTTATTCATACCAGGGCAATGAACCTGCGCTCCAGAACCTTCAGTCAACATACACTCTGAACCTGTTTTCATCTTGCCCATCCTGCCTTGCATTTCCAGGCGTTTCTGCAAGCTCTTTAAACTAAATCCAAGTTGGAAAGAAGCTATCCCTGACTGCCTGACTCTCTAGAGGCTGCGCAATGGTTTGCTGAAGAATGCATAAGAACATGAAAAAGAGTGTTTTTCATCATGCAGGGGTGTTTTTTTCAGGTCCTTATGTAGACATGTTGTTTAGGTTTAGTAAAACTGCTAACTTTTGAAATCATCCCTCAAATGCCAAAGTTCTGAAATTCCTATGCTTGTGTGCTTTTAAACTGATGTATTTGCAAAGACCTCTTATGCAGCAAGTTTGAGAACTGCAGCTTACAAACAAGTATTATAACAACTTTTTAATTTTAAAAGTATCTCAAATAAAACTAAAAGACAGCTATGGTTGTTTTTACAAAACCAGCGCATGCTGTAACACTGACACAGTTGACAACAGGAGGGTAAAGTCCTCTTTTACAATTCAAGCTCAGTGTGTCAAAGCTGCACTTCTACTGCTTTGCTACTTATTAACATGTATAAAATCCAGAAGTCCTGGGTATTTGTGACCTGTGGAAAACAGGTGCAAAATGTGAAGAAAGTTTCTGTGATGCAGTGATCTGGGAATCGGATAGCAAGTAACCATCTCTGTATCTAATCCCCTCACAGCCTTCACACAGGGCTTTTGATCACTACTATTCTGGTCTCTCTTGGAACTGGTGACTTAAAGATGGAAGGCTCTGGTGTTGATCTCTTGAGCTGTCAAGTCCTCCAAACTTACTGTCTTCTGTATATTTAAGATTACAGAACAAATGGGCTTTTAGCCGTTCTGTGATTACAGTAGTCAAATGAGAGTCAGGTGCTTTCTTCTTGTTGTCCTCAGAGCAAAGTTCAGTGGCAGCAAACCGAATCTCTTTTACACTGCTGTCAAAGCTTCCCTGTTTAGTGTACTTGCAGCTGCAATCTGCTGGTTTATTTTCTTCTGCATTACTGCAGATGCTGTAAGAGTAACGAAGGCTTAACTTCAGCCTAGACCTTAAAATGATGTCTCTGCACTTCCTGTGTAGTGTCTTGAGTTTGAAGAGGAAATAGATTATTTGTGCTCAGAAACTGAGCTCATAAATCGGGCTTTTTAATGATGAGTTCCACTAGATTTCAGCACAAGAAATAACTAGAGTAGCAATTTATTTAAAATGTGGACTTCCAACATCTAAATACAGATGTGTTGTATCCACAATTTCCAGTTTGATGAGACAGGGCCAACTGTGAACCTAGTTTTGATTTTACTTTTCTCCCCATTTCACAGATTTTTTTGGAGGATTCTATTACTTCAGTGCTGATAGCAAATAACTCCTGGGGCATTCCTGGTGAGATAGTAGAACGTTGTTTGTTTGCTTTAAAATGAAATTAGGTGAGCAAATTGAGGAGGTCAGTTCTGAAGAGAGGAGAAGCTGCTTTGCCATTCCCCCATGCCGTGGTGAGCCACACTCTGGCTTATCAGGAGGTGAGCAAACTCCTGCCAGATCAGTGAGCCAGAGGTGCACAGAAGGGGCTGATGAGCACCAGAGCTGTGGTGAGGGAGTAGGCCAGGCTGTGTGGCTGGGAGGGGAAAGATGGGGAGAAAGGAGGAAGAAACTTGACCCTGGTGCTGCGATAAGGAGCTACTGGCTGCCTGGTTAACAGAAATGTGAGTTCAAGTGCAGGATGTTTAATGATAAGTGATTTCTCATCATTGTAACAGTTACCAGGTGGTTAGGCTTCTTTAGTTATAGGTTAACACTTTTATTTTCCTCCTGAAAGTCATAAAGCAGTGTTTGCAGTTGTCACGTTCTCTGCTAGCACTGGGCAGTTCTGTTGATAAGATGTGCAACTTCTGCTGCTGTTATTGTTATGGGTCTAAAGTTAATGTGCTCTGAGTTGAAGCTTTCCAGGATTGGTCACTGAGATACTTGAAAGACGCTTTGCTGGTATGCTTTATTTGCATGAAATACATGCTTGGTTTTCATTGCTTTGATAGCTGTGGCCATAAGTGCTGTGTAAGTATGGTCTCCTGGTTGCCCTCAGGGTAACTTGAAGTCCTATGAAGTACTGGATTCAAGCATAAGGGTTAACAGCTGATGCTTCTAGCTCAGATTTTAGGTTCTGTAGGGAAAGTTTGGCAAATCCTATCAAAGGTATCTCCATTCTTGTCATGCTTTGTGCTCCTTAACTAAACAACTGCTCAAACTGCTGCTTTCCAGTTCAGTTTGGACTTATGGTGTGACAGATCAGCCTGTAATATAAGGTAGCACAAAGCGTGTGTGACTGTTTGAAGGGGAATTAGACATGTGTTCAGAAGGTGCTTGTGTTCTCTTTGGTAGAGTTTGTGAAACAGCAGCGTGCTGAGCTGTGCTCGACTTGGTTGATGTTCACAGGGGGAGTTAAGGTGGGTGGCTGTGCTGGGGGTGGGGGAGACATTGCCTGGGGAGAGGTGGGAAGGAGCAGAAAGACGGAACAGCTTTTCCCCTGTACAGCAACAACCCAACCCCGATGTGTTTATGCAGGCAACATGATAGCTTCATCTAGCTTTGTGTTGGTAGCTACCTAGAAATAAGCACTTGAAACTGCTTTATATAAGGCAACTTTGCTGGTGAGGTAGGTATTGTGTAACTGCTGGTACTTGGTGGGTGTGCGAGGGAAGTTGCGGTTCTCTGGCCCACCCCAGGTTTGTTCTCCAATGGGATTTATCAGTGCTTGTGAAATATTTGTTACGCTTTGTTTTTGACTCTTCCTGTATTCATTTGACGGGTAGGAAAATCCTTACAACACCAGCGTCGGCTATTTGCGCAGCACGAAGAAGCTGTGCTGTGGGAAAAGCTGCCGTCCGTCGCAGCTCGAGCAGCTCCGTGCAGATGTGGCGAGCCGGGGGAAGGCTGAATAAGCACGAAAAGTTTTGGCAGCGCGCAGCACCTCGCGAGCGGGAGGCAGCCGCTTCCTGCCTGCGCCGTGCTGACTCACGCCTCGAACCGGGAGCGCAGTGTGGAACTGCCCTCTGCGCGTATTTTTAGCCGGGTTACTAATTCGGGCGGCGTGCCGGCTTCCCGGGGCAACTGTGGCGGCCGCCGGGCCCCGAACCCACGGAGCCTCTCGTCTCGCACGGTGCCACGCGTGACGGCGGTCGGGCTCGCCGCAGCGGCGGCTTGCCGTGCTCCCGTGTCGCTCAACACCGCCGCGCTGTTCGGAGGGGCGGCGCCGCGCCCCGCGTGGGGGCTCCGGCGGAGCACGCGTGGGGCCGAGCCTCGCGAGGCGCTGCCCCTTTAAGAAGCCGCTCGCCCAGAGTGCTCGGAGCGGGCCAACCTAACGTGCTAGCAAGGAAAAGTTCTTTCTATAATGGATACGCGGCTGGGCCAATCGTCGGGCGTAGCCCTGCCGGGGGAGGCGGGGCCTCCTCGCCTCGCCCAATAGCGGTGTGGTAGGCGGGGCGCCGCGGCCAGGCTCGGTTGCTCCGCAGCACAGCTCCAAGTGAAGTTAATCTGGGGTGAAGCGAACAGAAAATTGTGGCGATCCGTGGGTAGGCATTTTCCCCTTCTAATCGCGTCGTGTGGCCGCGCTTCGCCCCCCGGGGCGGCGAAGTGCACGCGCGTGGGGCTTTTCTCCATTGTTTTGCTTCCTAATGATGGCAGAACATTAACATTTCTGCAGGGAAGCAGAACAAAAGGGCTCTTTAGGCAGGAAATCGGGTGCCGGGCTCAAACTTGCCCGAGTTTCTTTTGTCGCCGGGCGCCTCGCAGCGCGTTGCTCTGCCCGGGAAGGTCGAGCCGTGCGGGCAGACCGTGAATTCGGAAATATCGGGGGCGATGCGCTGTGCCGGAGTTACACAATGTTACGGAGAGGGAGAGCTGGGTTTTAGCCCCAACTTCGCTCGTTCTGATCAGATTGGAGCTAACGAACGATGACAGCTGCGATTGGATTATTCAGCGATAGCGTTTGCTCCGAGCCGTGTGTCTCCAATTGTCCATTGTTACAGCACGGGAGACCGCTCTGCTGCCGGCTGTGCTCGGCGAGAGGAATGTCGCTCAGAACAAAGATACGTACAACTCCATGCGAGGCACGGCGATTTTTTTTTCCTCTCCTCCTTTTTAATCAGCTTTGCCGAACGGCCGGGGCCGTCGGAGCACGCACGGGCAGGGAGCGTCTCTTGCCCTTCCAGCAGGCTTCCCTTCGGGGCCCTGAGAGCCCTGCATCGCCCGGTGACAGCGGGCGTCTGCTTAGAGGGAGGATTATTTTTAGTCTCTTGTCCCAGACGTAGCGTTTAAGGCCCTTCCCAGCACTATTTTTAGCGATACTTTATGCATCGGAGGGACGTTGAGGAGCAGGATAAGCCCAGCTTGCCAGGGTGGCATGGGACAGGGCTGGGAGGGAGGGGAGCAGGAAGTGAGAGCCAGGAAGCCGGGCTGCGGCGAGAGCGGGGCCGTGAATCGCCATCCTTCTGGTCTTTCTGACAAGTGTGTTGGATGAGGCCACGTACAGAACAATGCTTCCAAAGGGGTGAGCCTATTTTCTTGCTTCCCTAAATATTTCCTGCCTTTTTTTTTTTCCCCTTCTTTTTACAAAACCGCTTGTCTGTATGCAGCTCCTCCTGGGAGTCAGAAAGCGATACGCGTGGCCCTAATACTTGTTGAGCCTCAGTAAAGAGTTTGGTGGGATTTGTATGACTAATCAAGATAAGAGAACGGCTGTGGAAAGCCATAGTTGAATCTCGCGCTGTGCAAAGTGTGGTTATTAAAGCATCCCTCACACTTTCGGTTTTGCACTGAGCCCTTTTGCTTTCTCCCAAAGCCATGGGTACGGATTGCTTTTTTGAAACTACATCAAAGCATCCTGACATGGTGGCATCTTGCTGGCTTGAAGGTCTGAATTACCATCTTTTTCTATCTGCTTACGGCGTTTTTAATGCTGGAGATCATATTTATACCTTGGGAATACTGTAGAATGAGCAGTGATTGTATGCACTCAAGGGGTGAGCCAGTTCTCTGGTCTAAAGGGAGGTAATTTAGAAAGGGGTATACATAAGTTTGATTAGAATCGTAGAAGATCCCAACTTGGAAGGGACCCATAAGGATCACTGGGTCCAACTCCTACCTGGGGTTTGATTAATTTCTTAATTTAAAACTGATACTAGGCCACGTGGATGGGTTTCATGTCTCAGGTGGGGGCAAGAACAATCAAACAGTTTCCTTCCATCTCTGTAAATGGATGCTGTGTGTATGCGAGTTAGACTTGTTAAACTGAAGTAAATTCAAGTGTTTGGCCAAAGGCTAAGAGTCAGAACAAGGCTGCATCCATCAGGCAGGCTTTTGGCTCATGGTGCTTGGTGTCTGAGGAGCCATTCTTCTCTGGTCCCCTCTACCTCAACTTAGGGAAGACACGTTCTCTGGGATCAATTTGCTGGATTCATTCAGCATGCAAAGTGCTGGTCTCTCACCACACGTGTGCAGTTCTAATACAGGCTGTTTGTAGAAAGCAAATCTGCCCTGAAGGATCAATGTACTGCTTTGTTGGCACAGCTGTACAGCTTCTGTATTTGGGCTGCAGCATTCAGAGCTGGGGCTGGACCTGTGCTGTCCCCACGCTGATTGGTTGCACCAGTGCTCCTTGTTCATAAAACCTTCCCTTGCACATGCTCCATCTGCACATCTTAAACACTGTGAATGTGCTGTGGGATTTGTCTGTTGCTCGTGCATCCCATTCTGGCTCATCTCTGATGTAAGAGATTCTTAGAGTGATTTTAAACCCGTGTACAAATTGCAGGACCTGTTATCCTGTTGGCAACGCAGAGAGGGACTGTTCTCACCAGTTCCCAATGCTGTGGGGTGGGTGGCTCTCTGCAGGGTCACCCCATGCTCTGCTTCTGGCTGACAACGACTTAGTGAAGGTCATGTACCTCCCATGGGATGATCTTTGTAAACCAAGCCCTGCAGCCTTAGGGAAGGCAGTGGGCCTGTCCTGCAAACAGCAGCTGGGCTTGGGGTCCCTGCTGAGAGCCTGCTGCTCCTCGGCAGAGTGGTCCTGTGGGTGATGCTGGCAGAGCCAGCTGCACTCACTTGCTCTGCTTTAAATGAGTGTCCTGAGCCAAGCAGGCTGGCTGTGCTTCCCTCTTCTTCCCCCTATTCCCAGAGTGGTATAGTGATCATTTCTGTTAATTGCTTTGTGCCTAAGGCAGAATGGGGGTGGGAGGGGGGAATAATGTCATCTTAGAACACTTCAGCCCTACGTATAAAAAATAAATAAATAAAAAAGCAATATCTGTCTGTGTTTTCTGGCGTGGGGCTGTGCCCACTCCATAGCTGGCTGCTTCTAGGAAGGCTGTGGAGCTGATACTTGTGGCTGGGGTGTTGCAGAGAGGGCTGGTGCTGGAGGTGAGGCCCCAGAGTGGTACAGGGCTCCTCAGGACATGATCGGCCTCCTGGGTGCGGCAGCTGATGGGGCTGGCCATGTTTACACTGTAATAACGTTTTGTGAAAATAAGCAGTTAATTACACATGACCTACAAAGGAATAAAAATAACCGAGGTCTTTTCTTGCTTTTAAATCCATTTAACAGAGACATGAAAGGTTTGGGCTTTTTTAAACCTGCTTTTTTTTTTTTTTTTTTTTTTAATCTTTTAGAAATATCAGGAACATTAAGTCTTTCTTCCCTGTTCTTGTTGGATGTCTCAGATGTGTCATAAGCTTCTCAGCCCTTAATTGAAGGGGTGGGGTGATATATTTTTAACAGATCCCTACTTCCAACTGTGTTTATAGGGCTTTTGAGCTAAATCGATCAGCAAAAACAAAGCTGTGACAGTGTAGAAAACCGTTTTTCTCAATGAAGTTGTATTTGCTTGCTTGTTCCGTGGTTGCTGACAGAAGCTCAGGTGTTTGGTTTTTTTCCATCTGGAAAGTAACTTTTCTGGCTATTAAATTATGCATTGAGATTGAGTGAAATCCTAGCGCAATCCATCTTTTGTTAAATTTAGATCAACTTTAGACGATCATTTGAGTGTTATTTACACTAAATGCAGAAGTTCACTTGCACGTTTCATAAAAATAGTTCCTTTTTGAAGCAACAGTTTCATTAAATGCGTGGTTCTTCCTTTAAGTTAATGGTTCAGCAGCCTTGCAGAAGCCGTTGCTGCCTGTGAGCTGCAGACCACCCCTGCTCAGCCATTCTGCCCTGTCAGGATCCATTTGCGTCACAGCACTCTAACCTTCAGGACATGGTATTTGTCAGCCTGAAATGTAATAATCCTGTATCTGTGGCACTGAAGTATAAACAGCACGGCTGCCTTGGCAGGCCCTGACAGCCACCTGAATGCTTCAGCTAGCCCAGGGTTGAAGGCGACACTTTGCTGGCATGTCCTGTGATTCACGGTGCTGATGTATTTGCAGCCATGGGAGGGATTAGGGAAGAAAACAAACTTGGTTATCAAATTAGCGTGGCAGCCTAATAGCAGTATTTTTGAGGGCAGAAGTAAGGTGCTCTCAGCTTGTTTAAATGTTTTGTGTTGAGTGTTTTGGTCTTGTTTGTTTTTTAAACAATGATTTAACTTCTGGCTATTAGCTTAAACAAGGCAGGAGAGCAGACTGTGTGTGCCATTGACTATAAACGCTGAATTGGACTGATGAAAGACAAATATTGCATGAGGAAACAGATATTTTCCACTGAAGACTTGAAAGTTTTGGAAATAGGAGACAAGAACCTACAGGCAGATAAGAGACTGCAAAGGAAGCTGAATTTGTCTCTATTTCTGCTATGTAAACTTAAGATGCTTTCCAAAAATGATCATGGAATCAAGACCTGTAGTGCAATTAACTGTATCATGAAATGGAACGACTTCTGTGCAGCAGAACCTCGATCAAGGAGCAAAGGAACTCGCTGTGTTCTGAGTGTTTAAAAAAGAGTGGGATGAACAGCCTCCCAAAGTTTCCACGTTCAAGTTTTCTGAGGGAACATCTGCAGACTCCTTGTGTTGGGACCTGACCATCCATATATCGTAACAGTGTGATGTTCTGTTGGGTACTGGTGTTAGGTCATTGAGTAAACTGATTCTATAGGAGCTAGTTAGAACTAGTTATCAACCCAGTGTTGTCATCTTGGTGGAAAGTAACTGTTTTAGTGCTTTTGATATCACAGTGGTTTCATTTTGCTCCTGCAGAAAACAAGTACTGATATGGAAGGACTTACCTAGATGATGTTTTAGGTAAGAGGCTGGAGAATTGCTCAACTTGTCAATTGCTCAACTGGAGAATTGTTTGGATATTGGTGTGTGTTGTGGGGGTTGTCTGAAGTATCGTGGAAGAGCAGGAAGGAGGCATTAGTAAGGATGGGTCACGGTGGGTGTGTTCTTAGTTATGTAACCAGCACTGTTGGCTGGAGCGTGACCAGCAGAGCTGGGGCTGAGACCAACCCCCAGATTAAGGAGCATCTGCATTGCTTGCACTGGCCTCACAGCCCTGCGTGGATGTTTTGCCTTCCTAAAAAGTCTCGTCAAGCCTTGGCTCAGTGCTTTGATTCCACCTGAAAACTCCC